TAACTCTCCAACAATTTCACTACTTAGTAATTAGCGCATTATTCCGCGAATTCGACAATGTATATGTGTAGTTTAACACATTGACGACATTGAGACGCGGTAACGCGTCTCACTTTGCGCACCTCGTTGGACATTGAGACGCGTTACCGCGCGTCTCACCCTTATTATCATCCCTTTTTCTAGGGCATGCGCAGCTTTTTCCCGAATTGTTTGTCTCTCTTCTATGGATTAGAACATAACATTATTGTGAACGACATAGGTCATTGTTTGTTCAAATATGCTCCAGTTTAGAAGAAGTTTTCCAAGCTCACCGAAACCGGCGGCTTGGTTCATTAATAGTTTTCATGCTATTCTCATGAACACGTCAATAAAAAAGGGTAGTGAAAGTAAATGCAAATCTAAAGAGACAGAAAAATACATGTTTCACTTGGTATAACCACATCAAAAGAGCTTTTGGCATCCACTACAGATAAAATGACTAAAGTTTCCTTTTTCATTACCATTACATGTTCTTTAATCGGAACTTCGTCACTATATACTCTATTACCTTCTACGCATTGACTGTTACTGAGATGTTTTTGTACCACTGGTGCTTTAAAAAGTTATCAATAAAAATTCACGGATCCGAGGTGCGGCGGTCGCACTCGCAAAATCGGCCCGGTCCCACACGGCCAAAAAAGCCAAAACGCGCGCGGTCGTCAATGTGTTAAAAGTTCAAAATGTATAATAAACTCTTTAAAAAGCATTGTTCGCAGCGAGCGAAAGTGTGGCTACCGGCGGGCCACCACGTTCGTCGAAAGGGTTAAATGCAGACTTCCTTCTGACAGCAGGAGAGTGGAGCAAGTCCGAAGCGAAGTGCTTCGTTCCTAACTCAAAACCCTTGTGCCCTTATCGGTCAAGACCTGCCTTGTAAAGGTTAACATCGAAAGCATAGGATATAACGCGATTAGCTTAGGAGGGATCCGTTTCCACGGATTTAAAATGCCAGCAAGCGGCTGGGTTCATTCCGCCACGCTACCTCAGAGCCGAGAGTAAAGTGAAAAAAATGGTGGGCAAGCATGAAGAACATTCACAGTGGAGGCAATGGTCAGGGGCCTACGGGAGCGAGATGTGGCCTTTTCGTTACAAAAGGCGCGCTAGTTCAGCACCCTGGAGCTGCCAATCCTCCCTGAGCTCCGCTTCTGCCCTTGTGCTCTGCCCTCCAGTGTGTTGCTAACAGCATCATTTGATAGATTTTCTACTTAAGTACTTGACCTATACGTATCCTATAAATCGTCATCAATCAAAGCATGGTTTTTGGCTGGAATGATAGCGGCTATCGGTTTAGCATGTGCAGCACCCTCTTGAACTCTATTTCGGAAGATGAGAAGAAAATCGAGTGCAGACCACACATCATAAAGAGACGACGGCCAAGAAAAAAGCGGCTTTTTTTCTCTTGGCCGTCGTCTCTTGTGTGTGTGTGGTCTGCACTCGATCTTCTTCTCATCTTCCGAAATCGAGGGTAGTTGGTTGCAGCTTGTCCACTATCGGAGGTCAACGGCGAAGGGTAAGGGCGTCTTCTTTTGTCAGGTGTTTAACGGATTTTTTCGCTTTCGGCGCTGGGCATTATTTCAGATCTCAATTTCACTAGCAACCCAATCTTTATCTCATAGTAATCCTCGCTTTAACAAAATCGAGGCACATGACAACAGGGCGGTTTCTGGCTGATTTAATCGAAACAACATACTCAAATAATTCCGAAAAAAATTCAGCGAAATTAAACAAAACACGAATGTGTAACACTTATTTCAAGTAAGCTCTCCAAGCGTCGCTTAAGAGTGGAATGGCTGCGCTGCTAAGGAAGTTACGGTACTGAAAATGGAATAACTCAAGCGCGCAATATACGTCGGCAGTGCAAGAAGCGACTAAAGCTATTTGCTTTGGGTCAGAGAAAGGCGTTTTCAGAAATGCGCGCAGTAATTGCGTCTCGTGCTTGTCAACTCACAATGCCGATGCTATGGAAAAGCTGCAAAGTACAATGCGAGTTATGTGCCTTCAAAAATAGAACAATAAGCCTTTTGTTGCTTCTGCTAAACTTTGCAAAGATTAGCGTAGAAATGGCATACCTTCATCTTCGCTTCTCTACGACGTCACGACGGCTGTCTGTGACTGCCATTCTGGGACATCTTTCATCATGTACTTGGGCTTGAAGGACTTTCCACCTTAACCGAACGAGCCAAATCCTTCCGAAGTAACCAAAACACATTCAATAAAAGTTTTTGGCAGCTAAAGCTTGGACCCAATGTGTTAGGATCCATTTTACAGCGGCGCCGGTTTCACGCCAATCTACGTCGCTTCAATCACCAGAAAATTGTCAGATTGCCAGTAAATGACGCGTTCGCAAATAATCACACTATGTAGTAGTGATTGGTGCGATCTTTCCGGATAGGACAATGTATGCAAGCAGTTTTAAAATATAAAATGCTAATAAATCAAACAAAATGAGCCTGATCCGCGTGAAAATCAAGGGCATGGCGTCATAATTGTCGTCAATGTGTAAGACTAAGACCAGTTAAAAGGTCTCGAGTACTGATTGAGGTGGCTGGTGAGGTATGATGGTGGACTTGAGAGTGCTAGCGTTGGCTAAATTCTCGGAAGCTATTACGTGGCTTCATGAGAACACTGGTGGTGTATTGCATCATTGGTGCTCTACTGAGCGGTTTTTCTGACATGTTTTCTTAACGATTAGATCGATCCGGAGCGACTAGCGCACATTCTAGAATAACTTACACCTTTTTGAGCATCTTTCACGAAACTAGTTTTGTCCCTCAGCAACAGCACTGACCTATTTTTTCCTGCATGTGCGATGGGTACAGGTAAAGGATAAAGGATAAAGCATTTGCCGTTGATCAATCCCGTTTTGGGATGCGGCACGCATTCTACTTCCATTTGTACATTCGTAGTGGCGTTTGAATGCGATGTGGCCTATACAATGACTTGCGGGGGCCAGCCGATGTTCAAGTCAGTGTTTTTTATCCTCCCAGACAAGTCTGGTACCAATTAACCGACCCCGGAGGGATGGAAGGCTTGGTTGGCCCGGGCGACTCACGACCCAGGATTTGATCCCGGACCGCTCGCGTGGTAAGCGTGCCACTTGCCACTACACCACTTCCGCCCAGGGTACAGGTAAGCGCCAGTTTATAGAGGCCAAGGTTAGACTTTGCGAATTGAGCGATTCACCCAATTCGCAGTCTAACCTCGGGCAAGCTTCCGCCTTCCAAGCTGGCCAGAAACCAACTCATTTTGACCATTACGGGATTGAGTATTGTACTGACACATAGGCTCTTAAAGGGCCTGAATGTGCCTGTAGATCCATACAGCTGCATATAACAGAATAGTTAAAAAAGAAAAGATATGGAGTATAAGTACAGGAGTCCAGAGGGGTGTCATTTCAAAAAGGTCAGATTCGTACTTCACTTTTTATTGTTCTTCTATTCGGGTGCGAAGCAGGGTCAACCCTATCGTTGTTACTTTTCGAAAATTTTTTACGACCCCCCTCCCCCAAGGTGGATTTGGTACGACCCCCTTCTCGACCCTCAACCACCATATTCCTCTCTATAACATTAACTTCCACTACCACTCAACCCTCAAAACTCCGCCCACTTTTTCCTCCAAAAATGCCGTCGAGCGGGGGGGGGGGGGGGGGGGGTATATAGTCCCTCTGAAACAGTAAAAATTTTCCCATAATTTCCCACATCCCTAAATTTTCAACCAATTTACCCTATTTCTACCTATAATCTCACTGTTTCCTTTTCTAGGGGGGGTATATACACCGGCTGAAACGGCAAATTTTTATCTTGCGCGCCCTCTACTCGCACAACCTACTACCCACGAAATCTTAGTTTCTCCTCAATCCCACACGTGATTTCGAGCGACTAAAGTGGGTACGACCCCCCTCCTACAAACTCAACCAGGTACGACCCCCCGTTGTTACTCGTAACAACGTAGGGTTGACCCTGCCCCAAGGGCCGCGCGCGGCCGAGGACAGACACAAAGACGTCTCGTGTGGGCCGCTTTGGGGGGGGGGACACCTGTTTCTATCAAATTAATTATGCCAGTGAAAGCATTTAAATTCTTCTATCTGTTCTTTAGTTGATCATGATAAACAGATACTGGATTCTCTTCCGGAAAACCAGATGTTTGTCGAGTGCAGACCACACACCACAAGTGACGACGGCCTCCACAAAATGTAAATGTTTTCTGCCAATGAAATGATTAGCCTTGCAGTTGTATTCTATCAGTTGTCACTAATTACAACTATCATTTACCAACTATCAGCTATCACTATGAACCGTAGTTACCAGATTTATTTAAAGGCCGTCGTCACTTGTGGTGTGTGGTCTGCACTCGATGGGCATCAAGTTTTCAGAAGACTTTAGTCGCCTCTGATAGCATTTAGACGAACAAAAATTAAAATTTCATTCTCAATCATTATAGAACTTATATCAATCTGAGAATTTTAGGTTAGTGTAAGTTTGGCGATGACCAGCGTCGGAACATATAGAATAAGATTAAACGAATAGGAGAAAATGCAAACCTAGTGAAAGAAATTCGAAGCAATTTCGTCACAGTCTTAATGCCATAACCTGGTACGCAATCATTATGATTATGCACGGAACCCAAGAGAGAAAGTGAGAGAGCAGCTGCTAGTAAAACCGCTACAAATGCAAGAATCAAATAAGAAGCATTGACAAAAGGGATGATATGAGGAGGATTTGATCCTATTTCACAACTATTTGATCACAATCATTAAATTGCATCACAATCACAATGATTAGCCAAAACATGTACATTAATAGAATCATAATAAAAATGCATGTGTAACAAATAAAAAATATGAAAAGTTAGCCACCGTTAGACCTGCTCATCTTACCAAACATCGAAATAATCTCTCGAAAGAACATCATCTATACAAGAAGAAAGAATTGTATCGAAGAAAAAGTAAAAATAAAAGTCGAGTACTATTCAGTCTCTGAGCCGTCGCTAATGAACCCAACCGTCTCCTCCGTCCGAAGCGGCTTGAATCCCTGAAACGAAGCTCTCTTCAAGACAATTGTGACGATAAAACTGCATAGGAAGCCACTAAGGTACACAGGTGTACTCGTGCAAGCATGTGGGTGTGACTACAAATGAACAAGCTGCACTACATATGATGAACACTGCCTCATGAACAAAGCGTC